TTTTCCTTTTCCTTTTTTCCTTTTCCTTTTTTCCTTTTCCTTTTCCCCTTTTCCTTTTCCCCTTTTCCTTTTCCCCTTTTCCTTTTCCCCTTTTCCTTTTCCCCTTTTCCTTTTCCCCTTTTCCTTTTTAGAAAAAGTATTTCTCCCAGATAAGATTTATGTTTCTCTATAGTTCCATTTTGATTATACTTCCCAGAATGAAAGCTATGTCATTTTCTTTGAAATAGGCTTGCTAATTACAGTGATGGATTTTTTTTATTCCTTTGTTAGAAAAAGTAAATGTGTAAAGCTGTTAGGAACAGAATTGATAAAAATGAAATTCCATGTGCTGTTCACAGTGCAGAAAAACACTCGTTTTAAAACAGTCACTTTTTCTACATTTGGTGGCATGTGCTACATGCTTTTGGAGGAAGGTAGTTTTGTTTCTGAGGGCACCCTTAGGTCTTGAGGCTTTTCAGCGTCCTCCCTGTACATCCATCCGTGTGCAGCATCTTGCCGCTTATAGATTTCTAGCGCTATTATTAAAAAAAAAATCAATTAGTATAGCTACAAGTGCTGCCTATTATGCCGCGCTTGATCTCTGTCCCTTTGACCTGTGTGTGTGCGGAKTGCAGCGGAGCCGCGTGCTGCCCAGCTCGCGGGCCAGCTGCTCCCGTCGCAGCGCTGGGGACAATGGCTGACCTTGGGAGGCAGCGAGCCATAACAAAAAAAAGGAGAAGGGGAAAAAAAAAAAAACCCAGAACTTGAGAATAAAACTCCCCTTCTTTGCACAGGGTTGTTATGTTTTATGAAGGGGGTGTCGGTTTTGGCGTGGCGCAGGACTCGCGTTGTGGTGCGCTCGCGCAGGAGGCACRGGCCGCAGTGGCCTTGCAGATGTCCCCCCGCCAGGGAAGCAAAGCAAACATGCCCTGGCGCACACAATGCCTAATCCTCTCGGAGCGGGACCGCTTTGTCCTTCTGCAACGGAATAAAAGCGGGGGATTAACGCCAAGATGCTTGCGCACGACATACGATGGTTTCGCCATGGGCAGGAAGTGTCAGGTAGTGACCTGTAAATCCGCGCCGAGCCGGCCGCAGCGCGTGTGCCAGAAGGCCCGCCTGCCTTTTCATGTGGTAATTTCAAGTCATGAAGCGTTAGTCAAGTGGAATGTTTAGAACTGCGTGTAAAACGCATTGGAGCCAAGAAATTAGGCAGTGTCCTAAGTAAACTCCGGCCTTGATGAGCGCTCACGAGCTGTGCTCTTCCGTAGCTGCCGGGCTGCGCACTTCTGCCATGTGCCCCGGGTGTTTGTGTGTATGTTCTCACTGCCGCCTTTGATGCAGGTTCCAAAGTGTCTGAATTTAAACTGAATTGCACTAAAACACATTTAAACAGAATTGCATTAAAACGAGCAGTCAGCGATACGTTTTGTGCCATTTTAGAGTAATAGAAATAAGCTGGGCATTTAGTTCTAACTTAATGAGTAGAGGAAACTTAAAATCTATCTGGATATGGGAAAAGTACATCAATAGTGGGACTTGTGTTTTTCTGTTCGTAGTGAAGTGTTGCAAAATGAGTCCACGCTCTTTAAGAACGTATTGGTAATCTTTTCGTTGACAGATGCTCTTGGAAATGCACAAACTGACACCAATGTATCTGTGTTTTTCTGCAGTTGCATGTCCTCCTCTCACTCACATTGCACTTCTTGTAAAACCTAGATTTTTTTTTCTTTAAGATTACCATAGTTTCCTCCAGTTTTGTTTTTCATTCTTCAGTAATACTAATCTGTTTTTCAGAAGCTGCTCTCCTCACTTTCCTTTTTTTTTTTCTCTTTATTTCTTCTTTTTCCTTCTGCAAGTTGCTCCTGCTGTTTCTTCTAGCACTGAAGCTGCTCACTCTGGCTCTGACCCTGCTCCTACTTTACATACCTGTTTCTTAGTAAATGAAGGTATTCTTTCCTCATTTTCTATCTATTTGTCTCTTACTTTCTACTAATGTTCCTTATCATTGTTATGACATGACTTTGATCTGTGTAGGTGTTATCCTTTGTAAGAACAGAGGCACCAAGTGTAATTTCATGCACTTTGCTGTTAATGCTGGTGAAAGATGAGCAGATCTGGCCTGCGCATCTTGGGCTTTGCGAAAAGTCACCTCCTGAATATTGTTTTGGAGATGATATTTTAGGATTTATTTGGTCTTGCCTGTTTCTTTTAAGAAATGATCTCAGTCATTTCCAGAGGGGAAAATGTCAAACTTGAAGTATTAGGCAAATTTGTGATCCAGGTGAGGCTGGTTCTTCTGGAGGGCTCCTTCTAGAAGAACTCTGCCAGCCGCTCCCCAGCTCGGGAGTGGTGCTGGGCTCTGCGGGTGCCCCTGCACAGCCGTGGCCATATGTGGATACGTGTTTGGTGCTGGTTCTGTGTCCTTCCCGTGTCTGTGCCTGTAGCCCGAGTGTGGCTGGTGGGGAGCCCCAGGACCGCCCGGCACGTGGCGGGTCGCAGGGCCAAACACCAGCGATAGTTTGATTGCAAAGCCATAAATTCCCATTTTCGTACACCCCTAGCAGAAACAGCTCTCAAAATAGATTTCTACTAGCAATAAAGGGGTTTACTAACTGAAGCATTCTGATTTTTTAATGCTCAGTAATGCTGACAATTTACAAATATCGATCTTGCCAACCTGCCTGGATGCCACCGGGTGCCCCATGTCCAGGTGTCCCTGCTGGAGCAGGGGCTGCCCGAGATGATCTCAAGAGCTCCCTTCCAGCCGCATCCATCCTGGCATTCTGGGGTCTGTATGCTGACCCCAAATGATATTCATCAAATTTCTCAAGTCACCATAGAGCATAACAATATATATATATTTGTCTAGAATAAGTTACAAGAATTTTAAAAACTATCTCATTTGAACCTGATATGTTTTTCTGTGTTAACTACGTCGTATTTCCAGGTTATGGTTTGATTATACCTGAAGTAAGCTCATACCTGAAGTAAGATTTACATGGAAAGATAAGGATAGCGAGTCGAAGTGCTTGGGTGCTTCTGCATAACTTTTTAAATTGAACTTCAAATTTTACACAATTTTTCTAATGGTAATTGATATATTCAGTTTTCTGTAACTGGATTACCTCACACTTGCAAGTAGTATATTATAGATTAATAATATGAAGTAATATATAAGTTGTTTGAGCAGGTCATCTAAAGTAATTTTGAGCTGAGGCCATGGCTTATCCTTTTCATAATACTAGCCATAATACTTCTTTGGGGAACCCTTTTTATATTTATTAAGTATGTTGAGCACATTCTTAGGGGTACAACCTCGAAGCCCAAGTATGTAGCCAATTATTGTTCCTTCTGGGAAGTCGCCTGGAGAGGCAGTGGGAGACGAGAGGGTGTCTGCGTTTAATTGCCATCTCTGCGGGCCCCCTTCTCTTGGGCGCTGCTGTGTTTAGGGGATGTGAGCGGAGGCTCCTCTTGAAGAGCTCGGTCACCGTGTGCCGACAMGGCAGCTCCCACGCTGTGTAAAGCCTGCCGAGCTGGCGGGGCTCAGGGAGTTGCTGGGAGCCTGCAGCTCCGGCCCTGGCCATGGCAGCGGGGACGCTGCCTCGGCAGCAGGAGGGCATCCCGGGCGTCCCGCAGGGAAGCAGCGCGGAGCTTCCCTCCCTCTCGCCCGCCCTGCTCCTGCCCCTCGGCCGGGCTCGCTGAGCGGGGCCGTGCTGCTCTTTCCGCAGGCTGGAGCCAGCTGGCCGCCATGCACTGCGTCATGCTGCCGGACCTGCTGGGGCTCGACAAGTTCCGACCTCCCCTCCTGGAGATGCTGGCTCGCCGCTGGCAGGACCGGTGCCTGGAGGTGAGTGCGGGAGCCGCCTGGCACAGAGCACCTTTTTCCTGCCTGTGGGTAGTACTGTGCTTTAAAGGTGCAAAATGCCTGGTTTTCCACTCTCAGCCTGCCTTTCCAGAGGGTGGGCTCTTTGGTTTGAACCCTACGTTGCATTTGATGGGGAACAACCATGAGGAAGACCCAACCTGAGGGCTGGGTGACCACGCTGGGCACGTTCTCCAAGGTGGTGGAGTCTCCATCGCTGGAGACGCTCAGAACCAGCCGGGCCGCAGCCCTGTGTGAGCTGCTGGGCCTGGCCCTGCCTTGGGAAGGTGGTCTGGGCTCAGGGAGTCTGCCAGCTTCTCAGGCTCTCTGGTAATAATGTACGTCTGTGACTTACCTGATTGACCACTGGATGTCATCCTTGCTCTGCAAGTGCCACTGCTCTAGTTTGACGCCTGAAAAGCTCGTTTCCCCCATTTTTGGAATTTTGTTTCATTTCTGTTGGAGGTGCAGGGAGGCAAGGGCATGGGAAGGTAGAAGGACAACTGGGAGAGTGACCAAAACCTAGAAATGTGAATGGCTGCTGCGTTCCTTCTGGGTTTTGGTCTATTTATACAAATAGAGTGTGCATTTTCAGACTGTCCAAAGCTGTTATCTTTTCTGAATCCATTTTTTGTTAGAGAATACTGATTTGTTTCTGACAGATAAGTTTCTATGGCTCTAAGCCTTGCACGTGGGGCCTTGCTCGCCGGTGGCCGGCGCGCGCCTGACGCGCTGTGTGCCCGCAGGTGCGGGAGGCAGCGCAGGCGCTGCTGCTCGCCGAGCTGCGCCGCATCGAGCAGGCCGGCCGCAAGGAGACCATCGACGCGTGGGCGCCCTACCTGCCGCACTACATCGACAGCCTCATCTCGCGTGAGTAGCCGCCCTGCGCCCCTGCTGCCGGCGGGACGGGGCCCTCGCAGGCAGCGCTGCAAGCCGCAGAGAAACTGCCCTCTAATGCCTTTTATAGGGGTCTATAGAAGGGTTTATTGACATTTCCAAGGCAATTTCACAACCAGCGTGCATGGAAAGGTGGAGCGTCGTCTTCTCTTTCCCTCAGCAAATAGTTTAAAAAGTTTATAACTAAATGTTGCAGGCTGTAGGGTGTTAAGAGCCTTGCGAGACTCTGCAAAGAGCAGAGGGGAGCAGCAGGGGAGATGCCCCTGCAGTGCTGCCTGCGATGGCTGCAGCTGCACTGCGAGCTCCTGCAGCCGCAGCAGCCGCAGCCGCAGCAGCCGCAGCCGCCGCCGCAGCAGCCGCAGCAGCAGCCGCAGCAGCAGCCGCAGCAGCCGCCGCAGCAGCCGCAGCAGCAGCAGCAGCCGCAGCAGCAGCACAGCCGCCCTCCTGGCCAGGACCTCCGTGCAGCAGGAGGGCATCACCCCCAGGCCACCCTGCAAGCGCTGCCTGCGGGCATTGGAGACTGCTGCTACACGTGCATTCCTGCAACAGCATGTCTGTGGTTTAATCAAGTTATAAAGTGCTGTTTTCCTTACTGTTGTTCTGGATAGTTTTCCTGTCAGCTGTCCTCTCTTTCGTTACCTAAAGGGTAGGATTTAACGAAGTCAAATGGTACAAACTACTAAAAATTGAGGAGTGCATCTTAGAGCAGAAAGGTGAACGACATTGCCGTTTGAGCCAAACTGCAGTGATCTTTAATATTGTCCTGTCAGTAATTAATTTAATTTCAGTAAAATTAATTAATTTCAGTAAAATGCTGTCCATTAACATTCCCACTGGAGATGGAATGATACACGGAATATATGTGTATATATGTATTTTAATACTTCTCCTGAAAGCTTTGAAAATCACTTWGATTTTGAAGTGATTTGCCATGTTTGAAGCAAGTGGGTCATGGGCAAAGAAGGATTTTAATCAATTTTTGCATGACTCGGAGCAAAAAAACTTTTGTGTAATTTTATTACACACAAATATATATTTATATATGTACATATATCTTGCAGGAGTAGTCCCGGATATGCAATGTAATTTTTTTTCTTCTCCAAATCTGACATACAGTTACTCATCATGGTTTTGTCTGTTGGAAATAGCTAGTTGGAAGAAATTACATTTTATTCATCGCTATTTAAGTAGATGTTTTACAGGCTCTTAGAATACAGTCATGGAAGATCTGTGAGCATTGTGAGATCCTTCATTCAATTATCCATCAGAAAACTTGCCTTTATAAAAATAATGTCCCGAAATACCTGCCCCATGTAGCAAATCAGTAAAAACTTATGTCTCACTAATGAGAATATTTCCTTTCTAATGAGAATAGTAGTTGTTCATTCTTCTGAAAATGAGCCTCTTTTTCCTGGGAAGAATGTAGTTCCTGTACAGGGGGAGATCTCTATTAAGAACCAATTGATTTTTTGAGAGATGTGTAATAATCTTATTAAATCTAAATTGAATGCATATATTGCAGGGCACACAGCGTTTCAAAGTGGTGTTGAGAATGTGTCGTTAGCACGAGACGGCTGCAGCCTCATTTATTTATTTATTTATTCCCTTCTTTTCTCAGGGAGTAGCTCCTGTAGCARCTACTGATGGTTAATAATTTCTTTTCCCTACAGTGATAGGGAGTGACCTTGTTGAGTGCAAGGGATGGACGTAGCAGTGTTGGGGAGCTCGACATAAGCTGCTCCACAATGCCTGCTGGCTTCCAAAAAGGCAGCTTCTCTTTAACGATGCTCGAAAGCAGATGTTAGTTTAGASTAATTGCAGGCATTGGCTATTCTGGTACTTAAATCCCTGAACCTGAGTGATGAGTGGGAAGGGGGGCAGCTCTGCTTGATGGGTGTCATCTGGGAACAGGGTGATTTTCCCATCTCTTWAGACTAGCTTCGCACTCCCACTGCAATGATGGGCTGAAGCCAGGGCCCGCGCTTCCTRTCATCCAGATCCCTTGTCTGGTATGAGTGGTGTCCGAAGGGAAACCGGAGCTGCAGTGGAGGAACAGGCAGCGGTGGCTGGATGGTGGCCCTGGAAAGAGCCTTGGGGATGCGGGTTCGGGAGCCRCTCGCCCTAAAGGCCAGAGCAGCGTGTGCTCCTGTGCCAGGCTTAGGGTTGCTCCATTTCCACGGGATGCAGTTGGCTCTAAAATGGTGCATGGCCGTGAACACAGGCTAGTGTCACRCTTTCCTAAAGCACATTTCCAGGACCGTGCGCCCTAGGAACACCTAAAATCCTCCGGCAGCAGCTTCCTGTGCTTAGATGTGGCAAGCATCATGTATGCTTAAATAGCTGGTATTCTGCAGGTAGGGAAACGGTTGCTGTGTCTGTAAGGGCAGCAGAAGGTGCTCTGTGTGTGTGTGTGTGTGTGTGTGTGTGTGTGTGTGTGTGTGTGTGTGTGTGTCTGTGTGTGCACCGAGGGGCCGCGGCGCACGGAGCTCCCGCGGATCGATGGGAAGGGCGGGCAGGGAATGAACGCAGCCGGCCGGAACGCGGGACACGGAGCGGCCGCCGCTGCTGCCCGCGGCGCTCCCYGTGCCCGAAGCCCCGAGTGATTCACGTGAACGTCTGCGGGAAGCTGCTGCCCACATTTCWCTGAACACCTCCAGTGCTGCAGCCCCTGGCGTTAAAGGAATTACAGAAATTCAGATATCCTTAAACAACACATCTTTAACTGGCTTCAGTTCTAACCCCTGTTACCTCTGCGAAACAATAGAGGTGATCACTCTAACAGTGGATTTGTTGTTGTTTTTATTAATATATTTCTGGTGCATGTGTACATCTCTCAGTTTTATTTAAAACCSGCTTAATTGAGTAAAACTTAATTAAACTTGCATCGATTGAAGCAGCAGTTTTCATTGAGTTAGGATAGTTTGATTGGACCCCAAAGACTTTTCCATTTATGCCTCGGGTTGAACTTACTCTTGGAAGCTTTGAGTTAAAAGGGCACAGAGAAGCAGCTCAGTTTTGCAGTGCAGTGTTTTAGTGCATTAAATGAACAAGCAGTTGCCATGGTGAAGAGTAAATTATGATAGTGTTGCAAGTTTCTAATATGTTTTGCTTAATTTTCCAGTAGGCCTGAGGTGTCAACTGGCTTGTGTTCAGTACTCTAGTGGTTTTGTTTTGTTTTTTAATGTCCTTTTCATTTCTAAAACCTATTTCTTAGACATTCTCAGTCAGTTATGTAAGAAAGCCCTCCCAGAAAGCCCATCCCCGTGGCGTCGTCCTTGGCTTTGCATTTTCTTGTCCCCGGTTCTGTCTAGAGTGGCATGATGAGGAGGAAGTTCGGAAAGCTAGAAACATCCTCTGTCTTTAGCGAGCTGCAGGCGGGATGTATTTTTTCCCTTATCCAAGGGCTGGTTTCCGGGCGCTCAGGCTTGTGCTCTCCCTGGCAGCCGGCGTGACGACGGAGGCGCTGCAGACGGGCAGCGGCAGCCCCGACACGGCGGGAGCCGAGGCCAAGGTGCAGGAGGAGGAGCACGACCTGGTGGACGACGACATCGCCGCAGGTGGGTGCCCRCCGGCCCGTGTGTCCCGCCAGGGCCACAGCCCCGCGCTTCCCAGCGCTCCGTGCACGTCCTTCCCGGGAGAAGGGGCAGCCCTGTGAAGAGCCCTATGCTACCAGGAGTAGCCAGGGGAAGAAAGGTAGGAGGAGAAGAAAGGTAGGAGGAGAAGTGCCGAGCACTAGGTTTAGCTTTGGCTAAACGCCCGCTGTGCTGTCATTACCGCACTGTTATGGCACTACGCTGCTTACATTTCATTATTTGTATTTTCTGCATTGACTCTGCCCACGGCTGGCGTGCTTAGCTTGCAGTTCTTGCAGCGTAAAGGCAGATTGTTTCTGGTTAGTCCTTAAATGAATTATGTTAGTGAAGAAAACTGTATAAATGTTACTGTCACTGTCTTGCTGATTGAAGGGAGATTTTTTTCCACAGTTATCTGCTGCTTGCTGTGCACAGAGCTCCAATGTGTTTGAGTTCTATAAAACCAATACAGTATTTTACCTTGTTCTAATTTATTGAAGATGRGCAAATAAGTCAAAATTTCTGATCTGTCACTTCAAAATACGCCTTGATGGACCCTCCAGGAATATGCATTTAATTAGAAATACAYATCTTTGGGTTCTTTTCCTCCCCACCCCGTGCTAATTTGTCATAAGGGAAATGTCTCTGTGCTTGATATCGATGCCCCGAACGGCGCGTGCCTGCACAGTGGGTTAGGGAGTGCAAGAGCTGCCTTAGACATTCGGAGACTTCCCTGAGCACTGTATAGATCTTAGCGAGAGTCTGAAGCAAAACTGTTTCTCTGTTGACCCCAAGTCTGTTAGCGTGACGGGCACTTTTGAGTTAAACCCCTGSCTGAAGGTGGCTGGGAGAGGATCCCCGGGTGGAGGGAGAGGGGCTGTCTGCAATAGGGAGCACACACGTGTAGGGAGCAGGGGATCCACGGCTGCCCTGCAGTGCCGAGAGGGAGGCAGCATCCTGAGGGTGCCTCTCACGGCCCCAGGATGATGCAGAACCTGTCAGGAAACAACGATCAAGAGAAGATTGACCCTCAAAAAACGAGGAGAAATTGATGGAGGGGCTCTGGGTGCCCTGAAGTGCAATTCTTTTCAGCCTTTCCTTCTACATCACTGTTTCCTATAGCAACACGTCCTTCTCCTTCACTCCTCATCTGTTGGATGCTTTCTGATTCCCAGATTTTTTAGTAGGATGCAGCAGTATTTGACCAGGGGTGCATTATACCTAGGGCAGCATTACCCCGTCAGCTTCCTATGTTCTTTTTAAGAGGGAGACATGGAAGATGAGATTCTTGAAGCTCCAAATCATTTGCATCCTTTGCTCTGTGCTGGACTCCTGAATTTTGAGTTTTTTCAGAAAGCTTTTCAATGTATTGCTAAAATCTGGAACACACATCTCCCTYCCTCCCTCCAAAAGAATATTTTAATTGAGATCTTTTTAACATGGCAAGATGAAGTTTAAATCATGATGCAGCTTCTTTCTACAGCAGTACTTTTAAACCTAATACTTATTGATTGACCACGCAGTGATGCTTTGTGCAGCGTAGAGTGGTCAACAGGAATTTTTTCAGTTAAACCTGAGATTCGCTTTCATTTATCCAAATAATTTTTTAAAAGGATCACTTTCCCATCAGTCCTTTGAGAGATTAAAGGATTTAACTTAGCTGGCTGAAAAACACTGAAGCCTGTTTCAGGAAAATACTTCAGTAATTCTTTATAGCATTTAAATAGCATTTAAAAGCACATAAGCATGAGTTGTTTAGGAAATTGGTTTTCCATCTTCAAAAGCAGAAAAATACTTTGCTTGTTTAGCTTCAGCTCCAATGTGGACATKCCTTCCCCTGCGTGCTCATAGATCTACTGACCTCACTGCGAGGATTGCACAATTCCTCATGAAACTAAATGGGATTTTTTCAAAAAGCATTTTATTTTAAATACAATTTTAAGCTCTTAGATGTCATCTGATTTTTCTTTTGTCAGTACAAATAGATGTTTTTACAGCAAACACTCCTAGTGGTATAAGGCATAGTGACTTGCTGCATCAGAATTCAAATTGAAATGCAATTTATTCTTAAGCATCTGTAATTCTGAAAAGCCTAAAAGATGGGGGATCTGAACTATTTAAACCGGGGTGTTTTTAGCAAAAAAAGGAATCCCAGTTTCACGGGTGCTGAGATGAGCGGGTAGTGAAGGAGGCAGCGGCTGGAGCGCCGAGCAACGGGGCAGCGTCTGCACGAGGGCTCCTGGCTTTCAGAATATTTCAGAATATTTCAGAATATTTCAGAATATTTAAGGTTGGAAGGGACCTCTACAGATCATCYAGTCCAACCTTCCTGCTCAAGCAGGCACACCTASAGCATGTGGCACAGGGTGGCATCCAGGCGGGTTTTGAAGACCTCCAGAGWAGGAGACTCCACAACCTCCCTGGGCAGCCTGTTCCACTGCTCTGTCACCCTCACAGTAAAGAAGTTGCTCCTCACCTGGAGACGGAACTTCTTGTGCTTCAGYTTGTGGCCATTACCCCTCGTCCTATCACTGGCCACCAGTGAGAACAGCCTGTCCCCTTCCTCCCTGCATTCTCCCTTCCTGAACTTATACATATTAATCATATCCCCTCTGAGCCGTCTCTTCTCCAGAGRAAAMAGGCCCAGCTCRCTCAGCCTCTCTTCGTACGAGAGATGTTCCATTCCCTTAATCATCCTGGTTGCTTGAGCTTCCCTTGCAGGAAAGGGAGAACAGGGAGTGAGCACGGCGGGGCTGGGGGTTCCTCTTTGTTTTTCCCTCCCGTTCTCTCCCTCCCCGCCTGGGGTTTGTGTCTGCATGTGGCGTTTGCCCCGTCGTGGTGCAGCGTCACGGAGACCTGGAGACCTGCTCAGCCTGCTCCAGGGCCATGTCGGCCCTTGCACAGCGCTCTGATACCCGCTTCCACATTTACCCACTGCACATCCTCAGGCGAGCTAAGGCAAGAGGGGGATGCTCTAAAAATGCCCACTTGGCGCGGTCTCTTTCTTGGTCGCTGCTCCCAGCRCAGCTCACTGCAGTTTGGTTCCCGCTCTGGCTTCCTGCGCCTCGGGCCTTGTCCCCAGGACCCAGAGGTGCCGCCTGGCACCCTGCACGCGGGCACTGCCCTGCACCGCGGCCCCGGCCTCCTGTCCCGCAGCGACCGCATCCCAGAGGGATCAGCGGCGCCCCGGCCGGCGTTTAGTGTCTCCTGGGGAAGGCAGCTCCCAYGTCAGCGCTGGCCAAGTGAGGTCTGCTCATTTAAAGCAAACTTCGTCTCTCTCAGATGCTAATTAAGAAAATAGAGGAGATTCACACAGTCCCTTCCCTGTCACCTCCTCTGTCCTGTTACAGTGGAGACTGGGCTGTTAATTCAGGTATCCAGGCTGTTTAACAAGCAGATGTTGGTTTTGGAAGGGGTTTGCACGTGTGCTAGCTGGAACTCCCAAGCACTTTGGCAAGTGCCCCGACAGACAACTGGCTCTCAGGCTAATGGGGACACCCGGCTCCACGTAGGTTCTTGCAACCCCGCACTAGGTGTCTGCGAGGAAGCATGAAGGGGGGCACCAGGATCCAGTGCTTGGCTTCCTTTCCAGCTGCACACGCAGCCTCGGCACCAATTGGTTTTGCCGCGTGGCGCTGGAACGGCGCGGGCGTCTGTCCTTGAARCAGATGTCACCAGAGGAACTCCACAGAGCCCTGTCCTCTCCAGGGGCGAGGGACTTGACATCTGCCCGCGTGGCATATGTCGGTGCTGGACAGTGCTGGTGGGTTCGTTAGGTGCTGGTGGGAGAGACCTGGTTGGTTTGGGGCTAGGGCCTTACCTGGTGGCCAGAGGAGCAGTGGAAGGAGCCGGCCTGGCCACGCAGGGTAGCGGAGCGGGGCTCCGAGAGCCGAATCCCACCCATCCCATTGAGCGGGTTAAGTTCTGATGTTCTTCTTGAGTTAGAAACAGCCAACACTCTTATTGTAGGTTGAGAAAAAAGGCTTTCACATGGCACAACAATAAAAATGTCAAGATGAGATTCACTTAACTGGGGCAGTATAGATAGATCTTATGAGCCGCAGAGCTTGGGTTTTCCTACGCACCCGTGTTCCCTGTGGAGGCCCCGTGGGTTCCTCAGCTCGTGCCCACGCGTGTGGCCACCGAGGAGCCGCTCCTGGACGCGGGACCCGTGGGGCTGCTGGGCAGGGGTTGTGCCGCGAGGGCACGGAGCTCCCTGCGTTGCCCGCCTTGCCTGTCGCCTATCTCGGACAGAAGCGTGTCCCATGGAAGCCCTGTTTGCAGCTCGGAAGGCAGAATGGTTTCCAGCTGATTCCTTTGGTGAAACCGATTTCTGCAAAGCAGCTTCTCACGTGCGTCCCTCTGTAAATTCCTACTTGTGAATTGCGTTTTCCCTCTGGATTCTCCGCACCTTCTGCCCCACACAGTCACTTGTTGATGYGCAGCCTAAGTCCCGCTGAGCCCGGCCTGGCCCCGCGCCTGCCCGGCCCGGCCCCTCCGCCACAGCCCCTTTGTGTGCGACCACTGACAGATGGCACCGGGCACCGTCCTCCTTTGTTCCACAGCACGCCGAAAAGTTGAGCGACTTGGAAAAAGTTGTTTCTGTTTTCCTAAGAAAAACACATTTATGGCCTTTTTTTTTTCCTCTCCCCATCTCTTCTTGCTGATATCAGGCAGAAACACTTCAGTGCACTGCTTTCTTAGCTCATTTAAAGATTTTGCTATTGATTGTAAGAATCTTTCTAAATTACTAGTGTGAATAATTTCCTCACAAGTATGAGGAAAGCCACAAGTGTGGCTTTAAAAAGACAAATTATTTTTAAAGAGTATCAAAATGCATTTTTTAAGGTATTATTGAGACTCCTCATTTCCTTGGTTTCTTTCCATTCTATTTAGGCTTCATTTTTCAGTTATTGCTGCAATGAAAGCTTTTTGACCTTCTCATACTTTTCAGTTAGGGTTTTTTTGATTCTAATACAAGTGTC